ATAAAATATCAGAAAGTTAACATTGATGAAATACATTCCTGACAATTTCTATTAACTTGTATCATTACTCTCAGCCTTAAGTTACTTAAAAATCATAGCATACTTAATTCTATTTCAGGGCTTTTATTTTTATTTTTTTTAAATATTTTTTATTTCAGAGAGGAAGAGAGAGGGAGAGAGAGAGAGAGAAACATCAATGATGAGAGAGAACCATCGACTGGCTGCCTCCCGCACGCCCCCACTGGGATCGAGCCCGAAACCCGGGCATGTGCCCCCGACCGGAATCGAACCTGGGACCCCTCAGTCCACAGGCCAACGCTCTATCCACTTAGCCAAACCAGCCAGGGCTCTATTTCAGGGCTTTTAAAGTAGAAAGAGAAATCTTAAAAATACCAAGATAAAAATAATCATAAAAATATCAAGATATGTACTGTACATTAAAGAAATATTTAAATGTATAAATAATATTATCTACTATTACTTGGACCACAATTATTTCTCAATAAAAAAATATCTGGAAAATGTTATACATTTCATAGGACTAATCAGTGGAAATCTTTCAACATCTGGATGAAATCAGCTAAGGCAAATAATTTTCTTTTCTTGCTAATATGAACTTGTTACAAAGAAGGAAATTTCTTTAATAAGGAGAATAAATGCTACTAATAAAAGTTACTATTTTAAGTTCTATCTAGTTATCTACAAATTGTCAAATCTCAACTATGATACTATAGTATAGTATAAAAACTGAATTTGCAACTATAACATAAACATAATAGGTCAATTTTTCTATAGTATGACATACTTACTAACATACTCAGTAAAAGTTGGAGCTGCCATGGAAATTTTCAGTTTCACAGAACCCAGGTAGCACTCTATTATTTAGCAAAAATTCTGCCATGTGTATTTATTGATAACACAGAATATCACCCTTAATGATGTAGTCATACCTCTATTTTCAAGAGTTCAAATTAGGAACTGTTTCCATTTTTATTTCTCTGTGGAAAAAAATTATCTCCAAGTGGTTCTATCAAATTCTGTAAACATTCTAGAGCAACAGAACTACATGTAGTTAAATATTTAAAATTCCAAAAATCAGTAATAGGTTTCTAACAAAGAAAATTTAAAATGCTGTTTTAATATATTACGTTTTCAGATAAATATGCAAAGATCATAAAGATTTAATTCACTTTTTGCAAAAGAGGAATAAGAAAATGCAAAGCCAATGGATTTAATAAAATTTTGCCCAGCCAGTGTGGCTCAGAGGTTGAGAGTTGACCCAGGAACCAAGCGTTTACTTGGGCACATGCTCCAGGAGGCAGCCGATCGATATTTCTCTCATTGATGTTTCTATCTCTCTATCCTTTCTCCCTGTTTCTCTCTCTAAAAATCAATAAAGGAAAAAACAAAAAACAACTTTGCACTAATGTCCTAAATAAATTAACATGTTCAGGCCTCAATTTCCACTAGTAAAATATAATAAAAATAATAAATACACAACTTCCCTATCTGTCCTCAGACATTTATGAATATAAAATGAAATGATATATTAAAGTTCTTAGTATTATAAAATGTCCAAGTGTGATATATTACTACAAAAATAATCTTCTTATAAGCAAGAACCCAAACTATCTCTGTAGGAAATCTCAACTTATAAGATATATGCAAACTTTCTATTTATGTTTGACACAGTTAACTTAGAAAATGTGTTATCTCAAAAATAAGAATAAGCATATTTAATCTTTTTCATGACTCTTTATGGTAAAATTATCACTAAATATGTATCATTAAAGGTCAAATTATTCCAAAATAATTGAATTATGTCAAACACATGCTTCTTCATACCTCCCTCCTGGCAAGAGAGGGGTGGAAAGTTTTTGCCATGTTCTCCTCCAGAACTAAAGGTCACTGATCTCAGTCAGGTTTCTCTGATTCCATCTTGTTTTTGTTTGCTTTTTTCTCATGGGGTTACAGGGCTGGGTTAAAAAGGTGAAGATGTTACCAGACAGGGAACCTACTAGTAGTCCTGAGTGGGACTGCCTCAGGCCAGCCACTGGTATGTGGGTTCTTGACTTTGTGCAGGAAAAACTTCACAAGTCCAGGTGACTGTGAGGGTACATGTATTAAAGCTGGGGACAGTGAAATAAGGACGGGCATAGTACAGGAGCACCAACAGGAGAGCCCAGGCGGGGCTGCTTTAGCTCACTAGGAAGCCAGAGAAAAGGGGGCCTTGGAGCAAGTTCAGGTGGTTAACCTGGGGAGAGCTACACTGCCCATTGCTCCCTTGGTTGCAAGTCTCATGGGGTCCCTTAGAGGTTAGGGGATGCATGTCTGTGGGGGAGGATCTATCTTCTTTTTATCCTCTCTATTTTCATTGTTCTTTTCCTTAGGAAGTGCCACTGATATAATTCAACTTTGTGCCAGGTTCTTGTTTTTCTTCCTTAGATTCCCCTAAGGATTCATGACAGGCTTTTATTTTTTATTCATGTGCAATACAGGAGGCATTCAAGAATATTTATAATTCTACTAGGGGCCCGGTACACATAATTCATGCACTCAGGGGGAGGGGGGGTGCGGAGGTGTTCCTCGGCCCAGCCTGTACCCTGTTGCAGTCCAGGAGCGCTCGGGGGATGTCTGACTGATGGCCGGCAGTCGGACATCCTTAGGGCTGTCTCGGAGGCAGGAGAGGCTCCAGCCACAGCCGCCATCATGGCTGAGCTGCGCTCCCCCTGTGGGAGCACACTGACCACCAGGGGGCAGCTCCTGAGTTAAGTGTCTGCCCCCTGGTGGTCAGTGCATGTCATAGCAAGCGATTGAGCAACCTTAGCATATCATTAGCATATTACATTTTGATTGGTTGGACAGACAACTGGACATTTAGCATATTATACAGGAAATCACAAAGAACCATACTTCATGAAAATGCATAATTTAAGACAAAACCAGCATTTTGGAATCTGTAATTTTCCATTATCTTTATCACTAGAGGCCCGGTGCGGGGTCCCTTGAACTGGCCTGCGGGATACGGCTGAAACCGGCTCTCCGATTGCCCCCAAGGGGTCCCGGATGGCAAGAAGGTGCAGGCCAGGCCAAGGGAACCCATTGGTGCATGATCGAAGCCGGGGAGGGACACGGGAGGTTGGTTAGCCAGGAAGTGACTGCGGGAGGACTCCAGGGTGTGTCTGACCTGTCTTGTTCAGTCCCAACTGGCCGGACCCCAGCAGCAAGCTAACCTATGGTCAGAGTGTCTGCCCCCTGGTGGTCAGTGCACGTCATAGCAACTGGTCAACCAGTCGACTGTCTGCCCCCTGGTGGTCAGTGCACATCATAGCGAGCAGTTGAGCGGCCTTAGCATATCATTAGCATATTACGCTTTGATTGGTTGAATGGCCAACCAGACACTTAGCATATTAGGCTTTTATTATATAGGATGGTCTCTGCATGTCACAGTTGTTTTTGTTTAATGGTTTATTTTCTATAGATGATGATTGGTAATGAAAAATAAGCAACTACAAGGCATACACAATACTTAACACTGCAAATCAAGAGGTAGGAATAAAATAACTATTTATGTTTGCAAAATTTATTAATGCTCTTAAGCATTTAAGACATACTAAATTAACTTTACTAAAACACAAAATTATAAAAATATTTTCTGTTACCCATATGGATGTGTTCGTTATATTACATAAACAGAAAGTGAAAACCAAAAAGCAGCCAATTTTACCAAGTAAAGAATTACAAATGAAAGTCTTTGGAATTTTATGAGTATGAATTTTCTTTGAATTTTACAAGCCAAATAACATATGCACTAAGCTAAATCTAAAAAAAAAAAAAAAATCAGAACAATGAAAAAAACTAAGGATTTTTAGAGCCAATAGCAAAAAATTAACATAGAGTGGACACCAAAACTAAACATATTGTTACCTGGCGCTTCATTGCATGCATTTCTGTTAGATTGCTGTAGTATTCTCCTAGCATGTGCTGTAGGAAAGGGCAGACATAGGATGAACATAAAATGTGTATGATAGGGTCTATAATATAAACAAGTGAATAAGAAATTAAATAAGCAAATTCCTTTAAAGCTGTTTGCCTGAACTGAAATGTTATCACATATGCTCCATTTAAAAATAATCTCATTAGAGAAAATATAAAACGACTTGCCATAAACTTATATTAAAGTGCCTGATAGTGACCATAATGAACTACTACCATTCACTTAGAAGTATACGCATCCAGGTGAACCTTCCACATCTCTTTAGGGAGAGGAGGGCTGTATACTTTAATACCAGCAGTCATATATGTTACTCTCTAATAATCATATAACAAAAACTGTTACATGCTATTAAGAATTTTAGGGTAATGGTTAATACTAAAAAATAAGTCTTTTTAGAAAGCATATAAATACACACAAAGGTGTATTTACACTATTCAAACATTTTTCAATTCACTAAAATTCAATCATTTTCTTTTAATAAGTGACAGTAAGATCTGACCAACAATCAATTTATGTAACTGATATCCTTTCAATTTAGTGCCTTTCCCTAACCTCCACCCAAACGTTTACTTTTGAAGACATCATTATTTGATAAAGGTAGTGAAAGGAGATGAAAATTACAAAATTTTGGTAAAATTTCAGGGTCAGGACAATAAAATTGATATTTTTGCCAAAAAGATCCTAGACTTAACAGGCCACGATGAAAACTTCAGTTCTACCATTTCCAAGCAATATGATCTTGAGGAAGTCATTTCAAAAAAAGTGATGTTTCTTTTATGATTACAAAAGTAATGAATACTGTAAAATTTTAGAAAATTTATAGAAGAGTTTAAAGATGATAGAACCACTATTAACATTTTGATACATTTTCTTCTAGTGTTTTTGCATTCAGATTTTTGTTTAAAGATAGTTGAAAAAAAACACACAAAACAAAACATAGTTGAAATCATACAGTTCAAACAACAATAAATCTCAATTTATTTTTTCCCATTTGTTTCCTTAGGATGGATGCCTACAGAATTACTGAGTTAAAGGCATGACTTTTTGATGAAAAACTGTGCCAGTTTATATTACTGGCCCTTTTTGAGTGCTGTAAAAAAATCAGATACCCTCTCTGACCATGTATACTCATCTACAAATGGAAATAAAAACAATTCACAGGATTATGAAGCTCAAATGAGATAATTTATAAACAATGAAGCATAATACAAATGGTAGCTGCAACTATCATTTTCACTAAGGATCTTACTGGCAACTGAAAACTGACAGTCTATATTTACTACCTCCCTTCCTCTCCACATTTCTTTGAGATGTACTTATTCTCTATAGATTATGAAAGTACCAGTGCTTATTTAAACTAAAACGGTGGCAAATACATATGACTCCATTCATCCAATAAACACTTACTGAGTGACTACCATGTGTCAGGGATCACACTAACATTTAACAAATATGAAAAGGCAGTATCTGTTGCCAAGGGACTCAAAAAGGCGATACAGGCAACAAAAGAGGTTTACACAGGCTACAACAAAAACAAAGAAGGGAAACCTATCCCAGCTTGCATTTGGATGCAAGTTCAGAGTTACAGAACTAAGAATTTATTTAAGAGACCAGCAGAGGAAAGGGCTCTCAAAGAGCAAAAAGGACTTGAGACAGAAAAAACATGCTGAGGTAACATGACAGCTATGGGAACATTTCAGTTCTGTGCCACTAGAAGAGTAGGTTTAAGGCAGAAGATAATGAGGAATGAGACTGGAGAGGCAGGCAGGAATCTCTGCTGGCCAGACATGTTACATTATGGCATATGGACTTTCTCCTGCAGGCATGGTTTGACGCAGGAAAATGACATGATTATATATCCGAATTCTTATTCAGATAAGATTTTCAGAATTCCAATTAGGATTTCCAAGTTAATGTTAACTATACTTTTCTGTTTCGAATTTTAGAAAAATGAGTCAAAAGCTAATATCATAACAACAATACAAAAAAGTTCCGGTTTACATTTCTTGACATAAAGAAATGTGTACTGTAATCTCTACATAAAACCTTGCAGATAGAAAAGTGTAACAGACCAATTTCAAGACTTGTTTTAGTACAGCTTTTCAAATGTAAGATGAAGAAGTCCTTAAATTAAAGCAAACCAAAAAAGAACATACCTGAAGATATTTCTGCAGACCTACAACATTTTATTATTTTTTCCAGCTGCTCATGACTCTTTCTGCTGGATACTTTTGCTTGAACAGGCTCTTCAGTCTGGGCTGAATGTCTGTTCCTATTTTTGCAAGGTTCGCATGTGCTAGACATACTGGCACTTTCATACCCTTAAGTAAAAAAAGTAACAACTGTTATCAGTTGTAACTAATTCAAACCGAAAGGGAAACTGATTTTCATAGTGAAATAGTACAGGTAACTCAACTGAGCATGCTGTGAAGGCCTGGTATAAATAGAAAGAGTAAATGAAATATCTTGGAGATACCTTTGCAACAGTCTTTGGAAGCATGGGGTAACAGTAATATATCCTATCACTCATTGTCCTTTGATACCCATCTTAATGAGCATATCTAATATGACCCAAATTATCTACTAGACTCCAAGTTAACAACTTTTCAGTATTAGGAAATACAAGAAAAAATATTATATACAATCTATACAAAATATCCAACACAGAGAATAATAATGGGCACTAAATAGTCAAATATGCCTGCCTTCTTACTATACCTTTTATGTAATGGCTTAGTCTAAAAAGTCTTGCCCACCCATAGGTTATACATATATTCTACTAAATTTTCCTTCTGAATTTTTTTGTACATTTATTTTGGTATATGGCGCAAGGTAGGGATTCAACTTTATTTTGTTCCACATGAATAGTTGGTTATACATACCCCTTTGCCCAATGAATTAAATTTAAATTTCAACCTTACAATAGGATAGTGAAGACCCTGGGGGGGGGGAGGGGTAAGTGAAGGGGGAGGTAGGAACTGGGGGGGGGGGAAGAGGGGGAAAATGAGAGGTATCTGTAATACTATTAACAATAAAAAATATTTTTTAAAAATAAAATGTAACCTTGGTTAACATATTAAATCTCCATATTTATTGGGTTTTATTCCTGGGTTTTCTGTTTAACTTATCTATTCCAATGCCATTTTCATTCCTTTAGCCACAAAAGTTTTACAGTGTGTTTTAACAACTGGTAAGGCAAGTCCTTCCTAGCTTTCCTTGTCTATTCTTGGACATTAGTCCTTCTAGATAAGCAGTAAAAATTTTCCCCCAAATTTCAAAAACAATCTTTGGGGAATCAAAATAGAATCACATTGAAAGCATTTATTAATTTGAGAAGTAATATTTAATAGCTTATCTATCCTCATCTAAGAGCATGGTTGTATTTTTTCATTTGTTCATTCTTGTTTTGTGTTCTTCAAAAATATTTTATAAAATTTTACAGAACTAGGACTTTCCTTGTTAAATTTATTCCTAAGAAAAATTTCCCCCAGTAGTTTTGGATACTAAAATGAGAATATTTCCTCCCACTTCCATTTCTACTGGGTATTACTATAATAGAGAAAATTATCTTATAACTTTAGGAGCTATTTTATAACTTCAGTATCTCTTGGGTTCTCAGAAATAGACTCAGATACAGAGAACCATTGCCAGAGTGGGGGAGGGTGGTGAGGAAGCTGGGTGAAAGGGTGAAGGGATTAAGAAATATGAATGAATTGGTAGTTACAGAATAGTCACAGAGATGTAAATTACAGCATAGGGAGTTTTCAACAACAGAAAGAGTTGCATGGATCTCCTCAACCAAATGTTTCCCAAGAACCATAGAATTTTGATCTTTGCCCTAGATATACTCTCAAAGAGCCAGCAGACCCTAAATAAAGCCTTGCTGCTTACAGCCCCCTGCTCACAGCAGCTGCTCTGCTAATAACAAGTCCCCAATATATAGTTAATTTATTCTCTGTGATATCCTATCTGGAGTCAACCTTCCCTTTCTATTTCTAAAGCCATTTTTCTAGTTAGGACTTCATCATCTCATATTTAGGCTCCTGGTTTCTTCATTGGTCTCTCTGAATAAAGTCTAGCCATGTTCATTCATTCTTTTAAAAACTTACAGGAAAAAGAGCTCTCTTGGTTATGTTTGACCTTCACAACATTTATGAAATTAAGCTTCTAACTACTGCTACTGAATAAAAAAGTGCTGAATGAATTCTAATAGAAAATTAAAATATACATTATGTGGCATACACAAAGTTCTCTTTGGGTAGCCCCAGTAGGCACTTCAAAGATAAACTCACCTTCCAAAACAGCTGCAACTAAAAATTAAATAGCTATAATTAAAATGCTATAAAAAGATTACACACACACAACTATGGTGTTCTGAGTCCCAAATGAAAAACATCAAGGGCTAGATTTCCAAATATAAGATACTAGTGTGACTGAATTATTTCTCTCTTGGGTACTTTAATAGTAATCCGCCAGGGAGAACAGGAGACTTAATGAAAGTTAATAATACTTCAGAATAACACTGGCTAAGTCAGCCAGAACAACAACATATGCCATTCATTACTGTAAAGGTGTTATCCCCTATCCCACTTCATCACTCCTTCCTTACACTCATTCTATTTTTCTCAGCATGAGTGGCTGACATAGCTAGAAGAAACAGTACTTCTAGTTGTGTCCACTGCAGGTAAACAGCTCAGCCATGGCACCCTGGGGACTCTGCATGTATCCACAAAAGCCACACAGGAAAGTACTGAACTGCAGCTGACGCTAAGCCTTGACAGAAGGCCTTATAATAATCCTCTTGGAACATGGAACACAAGAACACAGGAGGCTTGTGAGAAGCTGCTATGTGGCCATTTTCACTCGCTTCCCCCTTTCCCTGGAAAACTGTTGAGCGTTTTCCTTCTTCTCCCTGATTCTGATGACATGCCACCTTTCTGCTACCCCACGGGCACAACTCCATCCTACAGAGTGGCTTAGCTACAGCATAAGCCTTGGCTCCTCACCAATAGGTGTCTATCACTCATGTATGTTATACTTGTCATCTAGCCCTTTTTGTTTCAGTGTTGCCCTTATGGTGTGTGGAATAAATGACATAGGGAGCTGGCACCTTTAGCTACTTCTCCTTTCTCTATTTATATAAGTAATAAATTCTCTGAATCTAAAAAGGGCTGTTTCTTTACAGGCTGCGCCTAATGCTTAACATCTATTTCATCTCAATCTTCATTAATGAGTCATAGGAGGGGGAGAAGGGAAGAAATGAAAAGATTCAGGTATGGACAGAACCCATAAGTCAGCACATTAACAATTCAACCCAATATTCCAAGAAAAAAATGAGGAATATCTAAAATATATGCTCCTATTCTAATCATATCAAAAGAGGAAATGGACCTGGTGGACTGTAACCAAATTATGGGTCTGGTAACCAAATGATAGGTTTGATAACATCCAGCAAGGCAAGAAATCATGTTCAACTCAGTAAGTGTGAATGTGAATTGAAGTTTAAAAAATAATCATCACATAATTTGTAAAATCTTATTTCACATACAGTAACATGCATCTTTACATATACAGAGTTTGTAAAGATGAAAATACATTACCATTACAGGAGACAAAGTTAAACAAAGATTTAGCATGCCACTTCTGTAAGACTGTCAACATTTGCAAAAAACATCCACATAGTTCAGTCTAGTAAATCTGCGACAGCTGTACTACATCTCTCAAGACAGCAACCAAATCCCAGTACACTGGTCTATCTGTTATTTCCCAGTCCTACCCCAGTTCCTCTCATTTCTCCTTCCAGCTTTGTTCTGACTCTATACTTTCTTGTTTGGAATGCTTTCCAATCTTCTCTCCATTCACTTCATCTCCCTTACCACTTCCTTTACAACAGAGTAAACATTCTTTTTTTTAAGAGATCATGTTATTCCTGTACCATCAAGAGAACAAAAACAACATAAATTATGGCCTAGCTCAGTGTTTCTCAGATTTTATATATATCTATACATATTAAGACATCCAAATCTTGCTAAAATGCACACTGAAAAACAATGCATACCCATTCAGTTGGTATCAAGAGGGGCCAAGAGTCTGCATTTGTAATAAGCTTCTAGTGATGCCATCTGCTCTCCATAACTCAGTTTGAATACCAAGAATTTAGCTG